TTTCGTTTCATTTGTGTTTTGGATCTACATTTCTGATTTCTCGCTTTACATTCTCGTTTTTTTTGTTAATTTTTGTTGTTTTCGTTTTGATTTTTCTCATTTTTGCTTCGGTTTGTTTATTTAGGGTTTTTGTTTTCGTTTCATTTTTGTTTTGGATCTAAGTTCTGATTTCTGATTTCTGATTTCAAATCTTCCTCTCCTTCAAGCCGTCAAACCCTAAGGTAATTTTTTGTTAATTTATTCGATTTTTTGTTAAGTTCTCCATCTTCAAATCTCCTTCAAGCCGTCAAAGGTAATTACTTTTTCCTTTTTGTTTTTTTTTTAATACAGTTTTTCTGTTTTTGTATTTGATTATTGCTGTTGTTCTTGCTTGAATATAGTCGAAATATGCCTAAAATGAGTAAAATCTGTTGTTGATTGTATTTTTGTTTTTTACGGGAAAATGGTAGATTTGTGCTGTTTTGTTGTTTATTATGCTCGATTTAAAAGTAATGATGATGGGTTGTTCAGATTATGTGATTATTATTGTTGGAATACATGCATTGTTTATTTATTGGGATTTTAGCTTTATATTTTTAACCCATATTGTTGGAATACAAGCATTGTATATGATTGGCTTAAAGTTAGTACTTAAAATGTACACATATGTGACTGTATCGTATATAACTTTCTATATTCTGTTAGGATATATGTTGTAATCATGTTTGTTGTATAATTCTGAATTTTGAAACATTGACTAGTGCAAATAAAATTCTGAAATATGAACTATCTATTTAGTTGAATTTTGGTATTGAGTGAATAGGATTCACTGTCGTGACTTCAGTGTCAGTCACATGAGACAATGCATGCTTAATTGCTCACTATTAGTAGAATCTGTCACTTAATTTGGTACTTATAAGTTATAAATGCTGTTTTTTTTTTTTTTGTTTCAGTCATGTCTCGCGAGTATGATGAATTTGACTATGAGAGGCAATCAAATTTTGATACTGTTAGCTCTCAAGCTGCCTCTGTCTCGGTTGATGATGCTAGTAATACCGGCACTATCAATCCTTCTGTTAATAAACGTCAAAGAACCGCAGGTATATGGAAGCATTACACTTTTTTTGTAAAGACGATAGGTAATGAAAATGTAGATTATGCTCGTTGTAATTTGTGTGGCAAAGAATATAAAGCACCTGGTAAAGCGGGTACTTCAACTTGTAGAGCTCATATTAATGCATGTTTGGAAAAGCATGGTCTCCAGTCCGGTAACGAATCACAATTTGATCAAAAAACTTATTTACAAAAGTTTGCTAAAGCTATAATATGCCATGCATATCCTTTAAATATTGTAGAGCATGAATATCTTAGGGAACTTCATGCATATTTGAATCCTAAGGTGCAGCATGTTTGTAGAAAAACTATGTTAAAGTATGTTATTGCTGAGCATGATAAATATAAATCCTTGTTGCTTGAGTCTTTGGCTAATGTTTCTGGTAGAGTTAGCTTTACATGTGACTTGTGGACTGCATGTACTAACCGAGGCTATCTCACTTTGAGTGCTCATTATGTTGATAACAGTTGGTCTCTTAGGTCTAAAATTTTAAATTTTAGATATTGTGGCCCTCCCCATACTAGTGTTGAGGTTGGAAAGTTTGTGTTTAAACTGATTAAAGAGTGGAACCTTCAAGGTAAGGCTTTTTCAATGACTATTGATAATGCTCGTTCTATGGATGTTATGGTTGAATATTTGAAAAAAGAATTAATGCAATGCTCTCCTCTTCCTTGTAATGGGAAATTCTTTCATGTTCGATGTTCAGCTCATGTTTTAAATCTTATTGTTCAAAGAGGTTTAAAAGAAGTTCATGAAAGTGTTGAAAAATTGCGTGAGGTTGTTAAATATATTGATGCTTCTGATTCTAGATTAACTCAATTTGAGAATGCTTTGTCTGAGTTAGATTCTGCTTTTAATGGTAAGTTATGTCTTGATGTTGTGACTCGTTGGAATGCCACTTATACAATGCTCCGAAAAGCCTTAGAAGCTAAGGATGCCTTGATTCTATATACTAGTAGGTTTTTGGGTATTTCTTATAGACTTGATGTTGATGAATGGGATACCATTCAAAAAAATTGTGATTTCCTTCAGCCATTTAATGATATAACTGTGTTATTTTCTGGTACCGAATATCCCACTTCTAATTTGTATTTTGTTAGTGTTTTAAAATTGAGTACGCTATTACTCAAGCCTTTAAAGACCCTAAACTTGCACCCATGGCAGCAGTTATGCTTGAGAAGTTTGAGAGTTATTGGGAGGATTATAGTTTTATACTTTCAGTTGCTATTGCTCTTGATCCTCGTTATAAGTTGTTTCGAGTGAGACATATGTTGAACTCGTTGTATAATGATGAGGCATGCGACGAAAAGATTATGATGATTAAGGAAGCTTTTTATGACCTCTATAAATTTTATTCTACTGCATCTAATACAAGCTGCAGAAATCCTGCCTCTTCAAACACAGCTCAATCTGAAAATTCTAATCGTACGTTGAGATCTCAAAATATTTTCACGGTATTTATGTTATACAATATACTCAATATTAATGGTAGTCTTCTATTTTTATTTGTAATGTCATAATTTAAATTTTATAATAAAAAATCTGTTGCAGTTGCGTGAGGTTGATGACGAATGTGATGATTCAACTAGATGCCCTCTGGCTGATCTTGAGGCATATTTGAATGGACCTCGTTCGCGATTAATTCAAGGGGAACATTTTGATGTTCTCAAGTATTGGGAATCTCAAGCTTCTTCTCTTCCTATTTTAGAATATGGCAAGGGATGTTTTGGCCATTCCTATTACATCGGTGGCCTTTGAATCTTCTTTTAGTTTGGGTGGTCGTATTTTGAACAAATATAGGGGTAAACTTTTGCCAAAGAATGTTGAGGCATTGGTTACCACCCAAAATTGGTGCCGTGGTTATCAAGAGGATGTTGAGGAAGACGTCCTCCTTATTGGTAAAGAGATTGAAGCCGAAATTGCTTCATCTGCATAACTGGTATTTGTGTCTCATTGTGGTTTATTTTATCTTGAAAAATCGTTGCCCTTGTCTTTTATTTTCAGACTTGCTGGCAGCATTTTTCAAGACTTTTAAAATCGTTGCCCTTGTCATTTATTTTCAGACTTGCTGGCAGCATTTTTTCACGACTTTTAAAATCGTTGCCCTTGTCATTTATGTTGAGACTTAAATAGTTAAATGTATTTTGGTACTTGCTGGCAGCATTTCTCAAGTTTTTGTTAAAACAACCATTGCTCTCTGAGAGCAATTTTAAAAAACAAAAGCTATAATTTTGAAGTTGCTTGAACTTGTTATGAGCTGCTGCCTGCTGGTAGTGCTTTTGCCTTTTGGTTGATGTCTCTGCTGAGTTGTTGTTGCTGTTGTTTTGTTGCTGCTGTTTCTTATGCTTGCTGCTGTTTTGTTGCTGCTGTTTCTTATGCTTGTTGTTTTAATTTTTCTTGAATCATCGTTGCCCTTGTCATTTATGTTGAGACTTCAATGTATATGTACTTGCTGGCAGCATTTTTCAAGTTTTAAGTTAAAACAGCCATTGCTCAGTGATGATACGATAAACGTAAATCTGAGAGCAATTTTGAAAAACAAAAATAAGTTCCTGCTGAGTCCCTTCTGCTTATATTATTCCTTGCTTCGGATAAGTTGCTGATCTGTTATTGCGTGTGCTGGTTCCTGCTTGTTGCTGGTATTTCCTCTGCTATTGGGTGCTGGGCTGCTGCTTCAAGATTCTGCTCCCAAATCACTCACATTCTCACTCCTCCCTTCATCTTATCATGTATCATTTTTTGCAACCCTAAACTTGATGATGTTTCAGTTGATAAATCTGAAATCTAATTTGGGTAGTAGTGATAGTAGTTTCATTATGTATTGGTATATGTATTGTGAATTTTAATCAATGAAAATGGTGACTTTTTTTAATTGCTTGTTGATATTACTCTAATTTTAATGTTATTTATCTCCAATCTTGTGTTATCTTATTGGATGATCATGAATATCAAGGAACAATGAAGATAATTTGGGTGGACTTTATTACTGGAATGAAAAGATACAAATGATATATCTTGTAATTAAAATAAATAAGTAATCTAAAACGATATTAATAATGTCGTTGGCCTAGATCTAGGTGATATAAACCTTTGTATAAACCTAAGCCGTTTGATTAGATCTACATTTATTAATATTAATTATTTAATTGTATTTACTATTTAGCCATTTAGGTTGTAAATAATTCAATTTGAATTAAGCAGTTTGTAATTGGATAAGTTTAAACAGGTTGCGATTCGAAAACAGTTCGATTTTAACGGTTTAACGGGTTATGACAGTTCTGTTTAGACGGTTAGCGGATTATAACGGTTCGGTTTATACGTGCGGTTTAAACGGTTTCGGTTCATAAACGGGTCGGTTTAAACGGTTAGCGGGTTACAAATGGTTCGGTTTAAACGGTTTTTTTTTTTCGGTTTAAACGGTTTCGGTTTATAAACGGTTCGGGTCATTAACGGGTTTATAAACCATTCGGTTCGGTTTCGTTTCGGTTCGGATTTGCGCAGTTTGGTTTGTTATCGGTTTACGGTCCGTAACGGGTTGACATTGAGCGGTTCAATTCGGTTTCGGTTTGATATTGAACGGTTCAGTTCGGTTTTCGGTTTACATTTATCGGTTTATAAACGGATCGGTCCGTGATGGTTCGGTTCGGTAACGGGCGGTTTCACGGTTCGGTTTGAAAAGTCCCACCCCTAAGTAGAAGTAGTAGTAGTAGTAGTAAGACATAGTAGTGCATGATAGAAGTTCAAGAAGTATGGTAGTAGCTTGGGACTTATGGTCAACACTACTACAAAAATTTGCAAAGAGACTCATTGAAATATGCATGATAGACCGCCTCACAACAGGGGGTCTGTTTTTGAAGACAAAGAAACCCGTTGTATAGAGACCCGTCATTAGTGGGGGTCTGTTTTTGAAGACAAAGAAACCTGTTGTAAGTGATGTCAGGTCTGTTACATGAGTTATAAATTTAATAAATTTGAAGAAAAAGAAACCCGTTATTAGAGATAGGGGGTCTGTTAAGTGGTACCAAACAGACCTACCATGTCAAATAACGGCTCTCTTTGTCCATTTAATTTTTTTTTAAAAAAATAATATTTTTGTTTTTTTTTATTTGGTACGGTTTTGGACGATTTTCATTTGAATTTTGAATATTCTACTTATATGCTATGTAAAAATTGGTGGATTATTTATAAATTGTAAATTACACTCTAAGACTACATAAAATAGCAACAGATTAAATTAAAATTGATACAATAAGATCATCCAACATGAATTTGCAAAAAAAAAAAAAAAAAAAAAAAAAAAAAAGTCCTATGAATTTACTGAAATTTTACAATTATAATAACACCATATGTTCTTGAATACTCCATTTCCAATCTCCTCTGTTCGAGAATTTACTACTCGTATGACGAAATCACACAAACCTGACAAAAAAAATAGAAAAAAAACAAGACAAATTACTCTTAATGAAATTCATATAAAACAAAACAAATTCATTTACAAAACAATATACTACATCCAAAACAATTACTGTATAACATAGTTAGTTACCCACTAGAGTATAATCTCGGTGGAATGAATAACTCCCAAAAAATACAACAACTAGCTCTGCAAAACCTTCATGAATCAGCCCATCAGAGAAATGACCCGAAGGTGAGACCCGAAATAGGACTACAACCAAAATTGAAGATAAATTGTAATTAAGAGCCGTAGCAAATGTAATTCATAAAAATGCAAAATAATTGTAAAACTTTCATAACATTCAAATCATAAAATTTGTTCAATTTGAGAAAAATACAATTCAAAAGTTTAATAACAATCAAATCATAAATATAGAGACAATTTAAACTGAAAAATCAATGTATAGATCGATTACCGTAATTTTAATCGGAAGTTCAGTCATAAATTAGACAACAATTCTTCATAATTTACAGATCTATTATCGAACATCATCGGAACTTAGCAAGTAGCGATATTCTCAAACTTGGGGAAAATAAGAGGATAAACGGCAAGCATGTAAGAGGATAGAAAGAGCCCATTTTTACCATTCTTAGAATAAATGTAGTGTTTTGATTTAATGGAGAAGAAGGAGATAGTAATGATTTAATGGAGAAGGGAAGAAGTGACGGCGGCATATTCATAAGGAAAGGATGAGGGTTTTAATTATGGGTTGGGCTTGCATTGGGCGGAGGATTTGTAGAGTGAGAATAGGTGAATGACTTTTGGGAAATAATGATAAAATAAAAATAAATAGGTCAGGGCAATCTACTAGCATGAGTAAGAGCAAAGCTAAGAGACCTGTCATACTAGTCAACGACTCTTTCAATTTCCTTCTCTAATCAAAGGTGTGGGACCTAATTAAATAAGAGACCTGTTAGGATTGATAACAGGTCTCTCATTTCTCTCTCTCTCTCTTTAATACACATAAGAGACCCGTTATAATTTATATTGGATCTTTTATATCAAAGAGCTAGACCCGTTGGTTAAATAACGGGTCTTTAATTGGGGGTCTTTTTTCCAAGTTTTGTAGTAGTGCAACAACAACAAGAAAGGAGGTGGCGGCACGATGGTGGTCGAATGGCGCCAGTAAGGTGGTTGCGAGGAGGTGCTCGTGAGGAGCTCAAGACCACAAATGAAAGCAAAAAGGAGGTGAGTATAGAGGAGGAAGGAGAAAGGAGAAAGGAGAAGGAAAGTAAGAAGAGAAATAGGAGATGTGATGAAATACCTTATGTTCCATGGCTATTTATAGGGAAGTTTGGTACTACTTCAAGTTGTTCAACCATGACATTCAATGAAGGAGGCAAGTGGGTGGGTTTTCCCCCCTTTGTCAACCTGCTATTTTTTTTTAAATATATATATATATATATATATATATATATATATATATATATATATATATATATTTTTTTTTTATATATATATATATATATAGAAGTAGAATGCTAGGACAATTGACGTACAAATTTTGTGTAGTACTAGTGTATTGCATATATGAATTGAAATAGCGAACTTTGTACTTTGTCGTCTAAATCGGATACAAATTATTAACGGTTGAAAATATGATTTTTGGGTAAGACAAACTTTGACTTGACTCGTATAATTAAAATCATTATAAAATATAGGTATAAAATTATCATATAATATTTTGTATGATAAAATATTTCGGAAAATCCATATTTAATAGTTATTAAATGACTTAAAAATACCGAGTATTACAGTCTACCCCCCTTAAAAGAAGTTTCGACCTTGAAACTTAAGTTGAATATAAGTAAAATTATTTGAATTGTTCAAATTGACTCATGCACAACCTATAATGACTTGGAACGACTCAAACTATGACTTAGGTATAACACTTAATACTCAAAATGACTCAAAAACTAACCGAAAAGGGCAAAAGCGCGAAACTCTATCGCATGGAGTTACGCCCCCGTATCTCGACTACTGACCTCATAAAACAACTCTGGATATCTTTTCCTCATATCTGCTTCAGCTTCCCAAGCAGTTTCCTCGGTTTTATGGTTTGACCATAAAAACTTGATTATCTTAACATCCTTGTTCCTAGTGCTTCTCACTTTACTATCCAAAATCTTCATAGGTCTTTCCTCATAAGTCAAGTTTTCATCCATCTCGATGGTCTCAGGTTGTAAGAGATGGGAAACATCTGGTATGTACTTCCGAATTTGGGTCATATGGAACACATTATAAACTCTTTCTAGCTCGTTAGGCAAATCCAACTTGTATGCTACTTTTCCCACATTTTGGATGATCTCGTACGGTTGTAGACACCCATTTGTGTCTCCACAAAACCAAACCCAGTGATGAGTACCTTTCACGTCGAATAATAATCGAATGAAGCGAAAGTGTGGAAAGTTTAGTGTTGTGGATAGTTTTAATTTCTTTTCTCTTCTCTCTGTTTTTGAAAGCTTATTTTAAGAAAACAGCCAATCCAGTTTTGTTGATCCATGATATGGGTCCAATAGTAGTGTAGTTGGATGGGGCTTGACAAGAGCTTTCCAACGATATATTATAAGCCCAATTCCGATGAATATTGAGGAAGTTATGGCCAATTTACTAAACTGGGCCCAGTTTGAGCCTTATATGCGGCCCAATGATCTAGAGGAGGGCCTAATATGATTTATCATTCCTAATGAAATTAGGAATGGATTTAGTCTTCTAGATTCTTCTAGAAGGTTCTTTTCATTCCTAATTCAAATAGCATTGATAAATTGACTTTTGTTGACTTTTCAGAGTTTTAATTAAAATCAAAGAATATTTTTGAGGAAAAGATACGATTTTATCCTCCTGTACGGAAAAATTTATCTGATTTTAGAAAACGTGTCAAAAACGGGATTGGCGCCTAACGCCAGGCATTGGCGCCAGCATTGGCGCCTGGCGCTAACGTTGGTGCCTGGCGCCAATGGCCAATTCCTGGCGCCGATCTCGTTCTTCGTGCGCCAATACTCTGTTTTGTTAATTTTATATTTTTGGCTGATTTTCTCTATAAATAACGTCGTAAAAACTCCGTTTTCATTCACCAACAACCAGTTTTCAATTCTCATTCTCTATAATCATTCATCTCTCCTTCTCTTTCTCTTTTCTAAACTAGTCTTTTACATACAAAATTCCGCATTCGCAAGATCTAGAAACACCTAGCCATATTCGAAGTTGCCTTCGCCCTAGGAGTGAAAGGTTTAATTTCTGAGGGTTTGGTCCCAAATCTCTCTTTCAATTATTTAATTTAATTGTTTGTTTACTATTTTCCTTGAAGTTACTAACGTGTGTATTTTGTTATTAGAAAGAGGTACGAGGCATCAAAGTAAGTGGTTTAATGGTTTTAATTGATATTATGATGTAGAAATCATGTTTAAATTGTTATAATGATATTCCTAGTATCATGTTTGGGGAAAAGGTTATAATATCAAATATGCTTATTATGATTCCTGCGATGCTTCCTATGTTCTTCCTAATATTTATGATTGTTAATATCATGTTAGGGTTAAAGATTTTATTTTCATTGCTTAGTGACATGATAGGGTTTGTTATTAATATTGTTAGTATCATGCCTAGGATCTTGCTATTTTTATTATGCTTTAACATGATTATGATTATTTTTATTTTTATTTTAATTATAATTATTATTATTATTGTTATTTTTATTATGTTGCTTGATTATTTATTTTTATTGCTTGATCACACCTTTTATGCATGTTTAAAGGGAATTAATATTTGTAATCACGCTTAATAAGATAATTAATAATCTTGTTAGGGTTAATTTGATTATAATTTCAAGTGATCGCCAATACTAGGTTTATTTGTGCATTATATTCAACCAACATAGATAAATAGGTTTAGGGTTAAACTTATTGATTGCATGTTAATCAAAAAGCGCACATGAATACGATCAGAATAAAGTAGAGGCCTATTATTACGGCAGGTTCAATCTCTTTTAGGTTGGAATTGTACCATCATCCCCGAACCCTTATTTGGTTCAAGACCTTATGGAGTTGACGATCTCTTGGATCGTTAAGGGGTGTAACCTTCACCATTTGAACGGTTTACAAGTTCCTAAAACTTGTTGGCGACTCTTTTGCTCTATCTTCTTCCCTTTTGGACGCCACCATACTTTAGTGTATGATCACAGTGGGGTTCAAGCTAGGGGTTTAACGCTTGAAATTTATTCCCTACAACGGTCCAATGTACTTCGGGCTTAAATTTCCTCTTTTCTCGAACCTCATCACTCCCTTCATCGGAGATATTTTCAATAAAACTTTCTCACCTACTTCATATTCCTCATACATTCTCTTCAAATCTGCATAGCTCTTTTGACGATCTTATGCGACTTTTATTTTCTCCTGAATCATCTTTACTTGTTTCACCGTTTCTTCGATCATCTCTGGCCCGAGTGTAACCATCTCATTTATGTCGTCCCAATATATCGGGCTTCTACACTTCCGCCCATACAAAGCCTCGAATGGCGCCATCCCAATGCTTGCATGATAACTGTTGTTGTAGGAAAACTCTATCAAGTCCAAGTGATCTTCCCACGAACCCTAGTATCCCATGACACATGATTTTAGCATATCCTCCAAAGTTTGTATTGTTCTCTCTGTTTGACCATCGGTTGCGGGGTGGAATGCAGTGCTCATCAACAATCTAGTCCCCATAGCCTTTTGTAAAGTTTGAAATGATGTCCTTTTGAACACCATGGTATTTCACCACAAATTTCACATACGCCCTTCCCAGTTGATCCATTGACCATGTACTTCTCATGGTTATAAACGGTGCACACTTCGTCAATCGATCCACTATGACCCTAATTGTATCATTTCCTGCTCGAGTCTTGGGTAAGGCTCCCACAAAATCCATAGAGATCGAATCCCACTTCTAACTAGGCACCTCCAAGGATTGAACTGTTCCTTAGGGTCTCTTATGCTCAATTTTGACCTTTTGACAAGTCAAACATCTAGCCACAAATTCTACCACTTCCCTTTACATATTCGGCCACCAAAACGTCTTTTTCATGTCCTTATACAACTTATCCCCTCCGGGATGCATTGAATAAGGAGAACTATGAGCTTCCTCCATCAACTTTTGCTTCAAATTGCTTCAATTCTGGGGAATACACCATCTCCCTTTAAACCTCATGCTTCCATCATCGGCTATTGCAAGTATTTGCCCTTCCTCGATCTTTTCTTTAATCTTTTTCAACTTCTCATCCCCTGGTTAAATTTATCGAATCTCATCATAAATTGACGGTTTTCTCAACAAGGAACTCAAAATTTTCTTTACCTCTCCTTGTTCCAATACCTCCTAATTCATCTTTTAAAATTCCACACACAATTGATCTGGTAGAATCATCGCATTAACTGCATGACTTGCCTTCCTACTTAATGCATCAGCTACAACATTCGCATTCCCTTCGTGATACTGAATCTCTAAATCATAATCCTTATTCAACTCCAACCATCACCGTTGTCTCATGTTCAACTCCTTTTGAGTGAATATGTACTTCAAACTCTTGTGATCGGTGAAAATCCTACATGTTACTCCGTACAAGCAATGTCTTCAAATCTTCAATGCAAATACAATTGTGGCTAACTCCAAGTCATGGGTTGGGTAATTCACCTCATAAGGCTTCAACTGTCTCGAGGCATTAGAGATCACCTTTTGGTTTTGCATCAACACACAACCTAACCCGAACTTTGACGCATCACTATACACCTCATATTGCTCACTCTAATCAGGCAGGGCTAACACAAGTGTCGTAGTCAACTTCTCTTTTAATGTCTAAAAAGCCTTCTCACACTTCGGAGTCCACTCATACTTACATTATTTCCTAATCAAGCTCGTCATAGGCTTTGCAATTCTTCAGAAATCCTTAACAAATCTTCTATAATAACCTGCTAACCCAAGAAAACTCCGAACGTCTGACATACTCCTCGGGGTCGGCCATTCACTTACAGCCTTTACCTTTGCTGGATCCACCGATACTCCCTCCTTAGAAATCACATGATCTAGGAAAGCTATCTCTTCCAACCAAAAATCGCACTTTGAGAGTTTGGCGTACAATTGATGCTCTCTCAAGGTTGACAATACCGCCCTTAAATGATCCTCATGCTCATCTCAATTATTTGAATACACCAAAATATCATCGATAAACACTACAATAAACTTATCCAAGTATGGCCTAAAAATTCGGTGCATTAAATCCATAAAAACAGCAGCTGCATTGGCTATCCCAAATGGCATAACAACAAATTCATAATGACCATAACGAGTCCTAAATGCACTTTTTGCAATGTCCACTCTGCTATCCTCAACTGATGATACCTTGATCTCAAT